TTGATTTTAACGGCATCCGCGTAACTTGTTGAAGGAACATTGAGTGATATATTTGAGCACAAAGACTGCTTAAAAACTGCTAGTTCTTCTCGTACTACCTCTCGCATGTTGCTTATAGGATATTCTTGCACGTTAGCTACATCTCGGCTCGATTGAAGAGCTGCTATGGATGCAGTCAGAGAGTCTAGCTTAGAGACTTGGCATTCGATGGCATCTTTTATTGTTCTCTTGATATTACCAGATTCCTTCAGCTGATTTTTAATCTCATTTGAGATTTTTTCAATGGCTTGTACTATTTCTATTGGTGATTTCATTTTGCGTGCCTCGACGCAGCACGACTTAAGAAGAATACATACACCGAGTTTGTGTCACCCTGTAAATATGAGCTTTAGGGCTTTGTTACCACACATCGATGCGAGCTTTAGCAGAGGCACAGACCACAAAGGATTAGGAGCTTTTTAGCAAAAGCTTTTGACCTTTAAGCTTTAGGTTTGATGTCACCGTTTAGACTTTAGAAACAGCTGATTTTCTAATATCACTCCTAATATCGTAAATCTACTCCACTTATTTATGCTGGTAATTTGTTTATTTTTATATTTTTAAGTCCAAATTAAAACAATCACGACTACAATATCACACTCGCACGATACTGATATTGATGCCTGTGTCTTAAAGCTATATTGCATCAGTATTAACTTACTACAACTACGGATTTACGCACTTAAAACTTTTGGCTTCGCTGAAAACTTTCCGATATACTAGTGTAGAAGAGGTTATAGCGGGCGTCGGTGAGTTCCTTATCCAAGGTTCCTGTATCAACGGGATGTCGATGTCTTCCTCCTTTAGGAAGACCAGTAGCTTGTCCGAGGCAGCCTTAGTGTGCCTAAGATTTGTCTGGACCACCTTCATCGACTTTCTGGGCATTGTTAACTGGCCCTGTGCCTGCCAGCACCTGGTTGGCACCTTCAGCGACCTCTTCGTCCGCGGTAACCTTGAGGTTCATATCGCCCGAAATCTGGTTGGCATCCTCGATATCAGCCTCTGGAATCGGCTCATTGGAGCGGAATATTTTTAGTTTAGCTGTTCTCACCCCGAAGAGCAGCTTGTTGTCCATTTTTGCAATGGATCAATACTTTCTTCGTTAAGCCTCAGAAGGTACGAAGTACTATGCGCGCCTTCTAGAAGCTTTTCTGCACGAATGACTACCCAGTCCCTCATGGGTATTTCTGGATTCTGCCGTTGCAGGAAGCGGATCAACTTGTCGCTGTCCATAGCCATCTTCGGCAGCCAAATACGGTCCCTGGGTCTCCTAGGTACCTCCTCGGCAGGGATTAGTTTGAACTCCAAACCCTCCCAGGCGTTGCCGAGCTCGGTTACGCACTAGCCGAGGAATTCCCTAGAGAACTCATCTCTACATTTGAAAATCCGCCAACCCCTCAGGGACTCACTGGAGTCAAATCCTGGAAGGGGGTTGTCCGGATTTTCAAACAGGTAGTCGCCCACCCGTTCAGAGAGCCTTGACTCGATCTCCACCCACATCTCCTGAACGGGCTTACCGCTGCCTGTGGCTTCGTCGACAAGCGCGACCTGAAGGTGATCCCTGGCCACCTCACAGTACCGTCGTTTCGCCAACGTTTCTTCTTTTGAATATGGAATTTTCCTTTATTTTCAAATTGAGAAATGTTGAATTCTCAACTTTTTCTCAAACGTGAGTGGAGCGGAACGAAATGAAATCCAGTTACTCTCATTGAAATATTTGTATAGTGTTGCCAATGATACATGTAAGAGAAACGCAGTTTTTATAGGAAAAGAATTTTTATTTATGCAGTTTAAAAGTTTATTTAATAGCTTATTTATTCAATTAGTTTAACAAAGAAAAATACAGTTGATGTAGAATATTAGTAGCATAGTTTGTTTTCAAATTAGAGGAATTGCGAATAACAGCTACCGCGTGGTCGAAGGGCCATTTTGCAACTGATGTAGCAGACTACCCATCGGTAGTCTGTGCCATGTTGACACTGATGGAACAGAACGGAATGCTAAAAATTTTTTTCTCAAATTGTACTTATATTGATAAACAATGTTTGTGAAAAAAACATCTTCCACCGACGTTTGGGCTGATATCCCAGCCCGCGCTTCTTTTTCGTCGACTTCCATTCAGAGTTTATTTCAGGGATTGTACCCTTATCGTTTTATACCTACCGCCAGGTACCCCCAAGAAATAGCCTAAGTATGCCAACCCCAGCACCCCTTGGGCGAGCCCGTACGGCCTGCCACTAGACGAGGCAGGGGAGTTTATTGTAGGCCCCGCCTGCTTGCATCACTGTGACATAGGAAAAAGCCTATCTTTCCACAGCGGTGTAAACAGCGATGCCCATTGCACAGTCGGCACCCGCTTGGAGGATATATCTAGGAGGGTTTTCGCCAACCAATATAAAGACAAAATGTGCTATGATATTTTATTTTGGCGATTTCTCATTTGCAGGGCTATACTTAATCCCGACTCTTGCGTCCTCGTTCGCGCTCTTTGGGCAACGATAGCAACCCATGTGCGATATGCGGTAACCAATCCTAGTGGGGCCTTGGATCACCGCAGAAAGAGAGGGAGCTTTGGTGGGGCCACTCCTACTTATTCGGCTAAAGGGCTCACTGAAATCTGCAGTGCCAGTTCATCAGTAGGTGCGGCTGCAAGCGGGAGTCTGTCTTGGAACAAGTGGATCGCTAGATAAGCGTGTACTCGGTTGCGGATCCCCGTCCTAGCAATGGGTTGTACACTGGGTTTGGGACCCGCCCCGTAAAAACTATTTGCTATGAAGACGACCAACAAAGCGTCGGATGAGACTCCCCCTTTTGATGTCGACCACGGCAAACGTATAAAAGACTATGATTTCAGGGCATGCACTTGGAATGTCCAGACCATTAATGGGGAAGGTGGCTCTGCCCAGCTGGTTCATGTCCTCTTAAGGGTAAAGGCTGACATCACCACAATCGAAGAAATGCGTTGGACGAGGCAAGACAAGTAATGCCAGGAGCCATGCGACGTCTACCACAGCTGTCATGTAAAGGAGCGCAATATTGGTGTTGGATTTGTGCTGAGAGAGAGATACTCCGTCGCCGAGTACTGTCGTTCACCCCGGTGGACGAACGTCTAGCCACAATCCGCATCAAAGCGCTTATTCTTCAATCTCGCTCATCTGCACCATTCCCCGGTGGAAGAGAAGGACGACGCGTCTCTCCTTGGCGACTTCAATGTCAGGGTGGGCAAGGAAGGGCGTCACTGTCAGAAAATTCAGCCTACATGGCGCAACGTCCGACAACGGACTTGGGCTTATTGACTTCGCCGGTGCTCGAAATATGGTAGTATGCAGTACTAGGTTTAAGCATAGAAAGATGCATCAAGCTACGTGGCTGTTTCCAGATCGAAAAACGTGAAACCAAATCAATTATGTTGTGATAGACGGAAGGCATGCTTCCAGTGTTTTAGAAGTACGTACTCTCCGAGGGCCAAATAAGCAAAAAATGTGCGCCCAAAAATACAAGGAAAGCTTAGCGTGGAAAAGTTTCAGTCACAAGATATGGCCAATGCATTCGCTTCTCGACTCTCACACCTGTTCACAGAGAACACTCTTCAACAAACCGACATATGCGAACACAGAAACCACATTTCCAGTTCTTTAAGTACCGCCGCCGAAGAAGTAGTCGGATCTCAGCGAGACCGAAAGAACAACTGGTACGATGAGTAGTGTCAAAAAGATGCAGAGCAAAAAGATTACGCTACAGGGCCACGCTACGGTCGGGTACAGCGCAAGCCATGTGGGACCGGTTGAAGGTATTTGCCACAATAGGAAGAGAGAGGCCGAAATACGTGAGTTCGAAGAGCTTGAAATGCAGGCCGACAGAAAGAACGCCCGAAAATTTTACCAGAGGTTTAGGCGACTTACGGAAGATTTTAAGACCATGGCGAACTCTTGTAAGAACAACAATGGCGAGCAAGTGACTGATGTCCAGAACGTACTTCAATTATGGAGGGAACACTTTCCCCCCTTACTGAATGGTAGAAGCACGAAAATTGTAGGGAAGGCGAACCCGAGCCACAAGTCGATATAGATGGAGTCCGTGTTCCACCGCCTGACTATGACGAGGTACGAATAGCAATTATCCGGCTGAGCTATTCAAGTACGGCAACGTGAAGTTGACAAAGTGCAGCAATTAACTCTTATGCAGAATATGGTCAGATGAACGCATGCCCAAGGACTGGAATCTAAGTGTGCTCAGCCCAATCCCCAAAAAAGGCGACTCCGCCATTCACGCCAACTACCGCGGGATCAGCCTTCTAAGCATAGATTACAAAGTCTTATCGAGCGTATTGTGTGAAAGACTGAAGGAATTGAAAATGTATTTTTTTTTCCAATTCCTTTGAAAGGAATTGAAAATGTAACTGATTTTTTTCGAATTCCATTCCTCAAGGTAATTTAAAAAGTAATCGAATAAAGTATAAAAAAAAATCTTACTGTTGAATTGCAATAGATTTGTTAAATTTCTTGGTTGCTAACTGCCTTGAATGAATAACTTATATCTAAGTACTAATTGGACTTTAAGAATGCTGAATAACTTAAACTGTAGCTGTTCAGTTTATAGGGTAACGGTTAAATTTTCCAGATCCTACCGCGAACGCGCTGCGCGGCAGATGAGACCCATATATGTCGAAGCAGGCATAACCCGCCCGAATACTTTCATGCTCGCCTTTCGGTGAAGAACAGTTCGGACAGTTGCTGCCTCGGGCACTGCTGTTTTCTTGGACTAATCCCTGCGTATCTATAAAAAAGCACTGACTTAATTGTGTAAATATATTGTTTGTTTGTTTGTTTGTTTGTTTATTCTTTATTTTCTCATAACATTTTTACATTCTTCACTAAAAATATATATCAGTACACATGTTGAACTTAAATAAGAAAATAGTGGCTTTAAGTGTTCAATGAAAGAACAGAGGTAATGCCATTTCATTTATTATAAATTATTAAATGCTGTGGGGCGCATTTCGAAAATCACAAGGCAAAAAGGAAAAAGAAAAATAACAATAGATTAATATATTAAATATGTAATGCACGAATATGTAGATATTTGTACAATATATAAATGAAAACATTACATTATAATGCAATATTCGATTAAAACCTTGAAATAATACAAATAGTAAATAATTATATAATAGGTCGCAACAGAATTTCGATTTCGTCGTAGTTGAAACCAAAAAGCCACACTTTAATATCTTTAAGAAATACGGATAATCTTCTAATGACTTGGATTACTTTGGGTAGCTTATTAAACAATTTACAAGATATTGTGGTGTAAAAGTTACGGAAAAACGTAGTGCGAGAGCTAGGAACAGCAACATGAGAATGTGATTTACTCCTCAGACTGTAGGAAGTGTGTATTGAGCTTTGTAGATAGCCGCTCCTCAAAAAGAAAATTTTTAAAACTTTATAATAATACAAGTGTTTCACGGGGAGAATATTAAGTTTTTTAAAAAGATCCAAAGAATGTGCTAGACGGCCGACGTTGCAAATTCTACGTATGAGACATTTCTGTAAAATTAACAGTGGTCGAATTTTAGTGGTATATGCACAACCCCAACAACTCAATCCATACTGTAATTTAGAATGAATTAGTCCGTGATACACTATTTCCAGCATTTTGGTTGAACACAGTTTTTTTAGGCGGTAAAAAGAGCGTACAGTTGATAGCAGATAATGCTTCAAGGCCGAAATATGTGATGACCAGCTTAAATTCTGATCAACTATAACTCCTAGGTACTTGAAATTAAGAACAACTTCGATCTTGAAACATTTACGGTCACAGACTGTTTTCTGGTCAAAAGTGTCTAGAGATTTTTGTTGAGCACACGCATTGCTACACAACTTGTGCCGCATACAGCTGGAGGCATGAAAAATTACTTCATTGTTAGGTATTTCCTTTCCACTAAGACTAAAATACATTAATTTCGTTTCGCTGCTCACCACCAGTTTATGACTTGCGAACCAAGTCCTAAGAAATGCACATCATGATTTATATCTGCAAAAAGATCAAATGCACTATTTGATCCATAAGCAATCGCAAGATCATCGGCAAAAGCCGTTACTTTTCCTTTAAAAGGCAACGAAAATACAGAATTGATATAAATCAGAAACAAAATTGGTCCGAGAACTGAACCTTGTGGAACACCTAAAGTTATGAGTCTGGTTGCACTCAGATTGTTGTCGATTTTCACCCTTTGAATTCTATTCCTTAGGTAGGACTTAAACCAACTAAGAATGGTTACGCGAAAACCAGTGGAGTTTAGCTTATTTAGGAGAATATTATGGTCAACCATATCAAATGCTTTTGTTATATCAACAAAAAGACTAGCACAATATTTTTTCTCATCGAGTGCCTTATATATAAAAGAACAAAACTCAAGAAGAGCGTCTTCAGTTGAAAGGCCTGACCTAAAACCGAATTGCATGGGACTAAAGTAATTAATTTTGTTTAAGTATGATAAAACTCTACATTTCACAGCTTTTTCAAAAATTTTCGAGATTGAGGATAACAGAGAAATAGGTCTATAATTGTTTTTTTCTTCTCTATTCCCTTTTTTGAAGAGTGGTATTACGATTGCACATTTAAAATCTTCTGGAAAGACTCCAGCGGCTATACTTGAGTTGAATAAATGTTTTAAAATGTCTACAATGAATAGTGCTATGTTCTTTATCGTTCGATTCGAAATGTTGTCATTTCCACTAGAATTAGAATTGTTCAGAGATTTTATTATGTCAAGTATTTCCGAACCAGAAATAGGATCAAAGAAGAAGCTACTTCTAGGAGGAACGCATACGGAGTGTATTTGATCAGTATAGCACATGCAATGTTCTAAATTACTACTAGGTACGGAAGCTATTCCAACATTAGTAAAAAAATCGTTGAGCTCATTAGCAACTTCCAAAGAGTCAGAAATATCAACACCGTCTACGTTTAAAATAATCGAGTTAACATTGCTCTTGGCATTACGATTTATAATATTATTCACTACCTCCCATTCTTTCCTTATGTCACCTTGTGCAGCTATGAACGAATTTTTATAGTATCCATCCCGTCTACAACGAATTTCTTTATTAAGTCTAGTTGTCAAACGGTGCGCACGTTTCCGGAGTCTAGTATTGGTTGGATGCTTGTAACATTTTTTGCGCAACTTGTTCTTTAGCCTGATTTTTTTAATTAAGCTTCGAGCAATCCAAGGTTTGAGCCTTACATCGAATTTTTTTGGAAGGACCGCAAAGCTTTACTGGTTTACGTATTCTTTAAGTTTATTTATAAATAAATTAAACGCCTTGGTCACGTCCTTTTCTGCGTATACCGTTTCCCAGCTTTCATAAAGTAGAACTTCATTAAGAAATTTAAAATTAATTTTTGTCCTATCTAGTAATTTGTTGTTATTGCTGTTTCGCTCATTGTGCAAACTTCTAAATTGTAGACCAGTTAAGCAATGGTCAGAAATTCCAAGGTCAAGGTTTATACCGGCCAACGTTCTGGATGCCATATTACTGAACCGCCTATAAACATGGTCTAAACAAGAGCCTGAAACAGGCCGTGTAGTCCCATTTATAAAAGAAATTAGGCCATGCTCCGCAATAAGTGCAAGATGGTTATCTAAAGCAACGTTCGCACCTAATAAATCTAGATTGAAATCGCCCAAAATGATGAGATTTGATGTTTTTTGACTACTCAGAAAAACCGAAAATTCTTCATGGAACAGCTGAAATGACTGTGAATGAAACCTGTATACACACGCGAAACTGAATGGTTCATTGTTTATTTTCAAAGATATTATTATAATATCAGCGCTCGACAGTTGGGAACGTATAACTTCGCACTCATACATATTACGTATAAATACTCCTACACCACCTGCTGAATATGAATCATTTGTATTTGTAAAGAAATTATAACTAGGGATATGGTAATCATTAATTTCATAGGGAAAAATCCATATTTCTGAAACGAAAACAATATCGGGAAGATTTTGAAAGTCTTCAAGGTGGCAAGCTAATGAATCGAAATTCCGTCTAAGACTTCTTACATTTTGATGTAAAACAGTTAATGTGTTGGCTTCAGATGCTACTAAGTTGAAATCGGTAATAATACCCTTGGTAGGGCTGTTTTCTATAAAAACGGATCTTGAATTCATAGTTTTGCTTAAAATTAATATGAGTTTACAATTCTCTAAATAGGAATATTAGCTAGATCCTCAAATGTTCTTATATAAACAGCCCTATCATTTACAGACTTTTTCATCAATAGTCGTGAGTTGCTAAACCATAAATACTTAAAATGCTTTTCCTTTTTCACCTTAGTCGCTGCCAAAAACAAAGCTTTGTTGTAGTTAGTAAGGCAATTATTAATGTAAATGTTTTTATTGTTAACATCGGAAAATATTGACGTGTTTAGATTCTTCCTTGCCGTTCGTTTGGCCGTCATGATCTTCTTTTTGCTTTCTGCCGATGCGAGCTTTACGCAAATAATATTTTTAAAGCTGACTTTCGATGGTGAATATCCCCTCAAATTCATGCGTTTGATGTTAAACTTCTCAATTTCATCATTCGATACCATCACATTTAATGCATCACTGAAAATTTTGCTTAAACACTCTTTTGCATTTTCGTGATTAACGTTCGGCACTCCTACAATTTCAATGGAATTTTCTAGTAGCTTTTGTTCTCTCCAATTTAGCTTACTTTCAAGCTTAGATACCTTCACCCTCAATTCGTTGTTTTCTTCCTTCAGTTGTTGTATTGAACTGAGAAAGTCAATGTTTATTTGTTTAAGGTTTATTATCTCTTCGTATAAGAGCTGAAGAGTTATTTTATCATTTTCGTTATCATTTGTTGCTTTGTGCTGCTCTTGCAGTTGAACATTACCTCCTTGTTCTGCTACGTTTACTGCTTTGCGCTGCTCACCGGAGCGTTGACTTACCGAATGCCCGACTTTATTCTCAGATGTTCGCATGTGTTCAAGAGAAACACTTTGTTTTTTACTGGCAGTAGATGTATTTAGTTGTTGGCTTAGGCTGTCCGCTATCTGAGTTAGAATTGTTGTTGGTTGTTGTAATGTTTTCCTGCGCATAGCACTGCACTTGTCACAACGATATTTCTTATTGTTTGCCTTGAAAAACTCAATATCAGCAGCTTTGATATTAACACATTTGCAGTGAAAATAGTTTTTGCAATCACAACAGTAAATTTTATTTGCACTATTGCGTTCAATTCTTTCCTTGCATATTGGACAGTTCATTTTGGAAATTAAAATTTTTTAAAAATTACGCGTAATCGATGATCAAAGTGAGCGCCCCACGATCACTTCTAATCACTTCGCTTAACGAGTAATGCTGCCCAAAATGGCGAGCATTCTGGAGCCTTTGAAGTACTCTTACTGGTATCCTGCGTTACAAATGAGGATAGAGTCCGCTTGAATTACGAGCCCTGTCAGACTGAAGATTCTACCTCCTAAAAGTTTGAACAAAAAACTTCTGGAAAATTTAGATAGTGTTACATAGATATGTATTTCACTAATGTAGTATATTAAATATTATAAAGTCGGAAAAACTCAACGCTGAAGCAAACAAATTCTTTTTTTGTTCGCAATATCCGTAGTAGGCTATGGCGACCCCAAATAAAATTATTTATGATTAAACGTTAACTATTTTGTAATGTTGGGGAATGGTGACAAAAATTTTAAGTTTTCATTAAGGATTCTTTAAACAGCTTTTATGTGATATCTTATTGTTTTCATTACGCTTTTTACTATTTTTTACATTCGTATGAGTAATTTTTTATTAATTTTGCTATTGCGTAATTTATATATCAACTCTTCGTTGATAATATGATCACGTCGTTTGATAAAATGTTGTAAATTTTTTCTTCATTTTAATTGTTCGGCTTTTGGATAAGTGTAAACATTTAGGAAAAATTTTCTGGCAAAGCTTCCCCAAACACTTTTCGTTTGGTACCTATTATGTGCTATTTCATTTAATTTAAATATTTGTTAGTTTTTTAATAGGTTATATTGTTCAGAAGATATTAATATTTTAAAAAGTCAAAAAAATTTAAATTTTACCATTGATATCTTCTTTATTTTTTACTTCTGCCAGATAATTTTGGTAGGGTTGAAATCAGCACAAAAAGTTCTATCGACCCCATTTCTGGCTTTTGTATAGCTAAACTTTTGATATTCTAGACTTATGTGCACGGAAAGACCTCGGACTATCTCTGATAAAATTCTGCAGTACGGGAACAGACTTACAGTCAAAAGTTGGTTACAGTTTGGATTATCAATGACACAAACCAAATTCGGTAAAAAAGCGTTGCATTCGCATAAACTCCAAATAAAAGTGGTGTTTAAGAAGAGTTTAACGAAATTTTTATATGGTAAACTCCGAGCTTAGAGTAGAGTTCAGCGCTAAACTCCAAAATGGCCCACAAACTCAAACTAATATTACTTTAAGATAGTACGATAATCCTCATTGAGAAAATTGTGGTTTTTGGTAAAGGGGCCGTGCACCTCCTATACAAACCGAATGTTTCATACTTCATATCTCTGCAAGTTTTCATGGTAGAGTACTCGAACATGGGACGGAGATATATGAAAACAATCACAAGGTCATGAAGAACAAGTAAGAAAGTCTACCTTCGGGCGGAGCCGAACATTAAATACCCGGCGCAATTATTAAATATATGTTTTCCACCTTTCCGAAAACTACCGCTATATGGTAAGCCGTGGTTTTCACCCCTACTTTAAACATCTTCGATTGAACGTTCACTTAGACATAATGAGATAAACTTATATAGTCATATTTGGGCGATACCACACCAAAATTCCAATCAATGTTAGTTCTTTTCAAGGGATTGACTTTAGTATCAATTTTGAGTAAGTTAGCGTCCTTAAATTTCGAAATATTGAAGTTTCAAGCATTTCTGAAATTTACCCTTATATGAAAAGCGGCCGTAATTTTGTCCGATTTCAATAATTTTCAACGTTTTACTTTTATGTGATAATAAGTGGGCGGTGCTACGCCCATTTTCCAAAATTTTATTATAAATGTATTTCTTGGTAAAGAATTGTTGCAAGCATCAATTTTGAATAAATTAGCTAAGTATTTACTGATTTATCGAAGATTTCGTATTTTTCTAAATTTAGAAAATTTCGGCCATTTGGTATGTTGTACCAAGGCCAAGAACTGTGCCAAGTTTGGAAGAAATTGGTGTAGCGGTTACCAAGATATACACATCCCTAGAACACACACCCAGAAAATACCACGTAAACACACACCCGGGATACGTTTGTACCCGGGACCTTATTTTGCGGTTTTTTTAATACTTATTCAACCGATTTCTATGATTTTTTTTTGAAATGTATATTTTAATATATAACCAGTATTTTGTCTTTTGTTTCATTCGAATATTCCTACTGGTTCCAGCGATATGGGCAAATAAAGTCAGGACATGCAACAGTGGATTTTTGTTTTTGTTGTTGTCCTGATAAATGCAAAACAAAATAATATAATTTATAATAATATACTTGTAGAGTAACAACGAATACACATTTTGGTTTTTATTTCATTGAAATATTCTACCTGGTTCAAAAGATATGTGCAAAAAGGTCGCGCAAGGTATGGGTACGTAGGTAGCAAATACACTGGTATAACTGGTTTTTGTATTTTATATGCAGCTGCAAGGGTTGTTTTCACACGAGGTGTTGTTATAAATGCTGCCTGTTGATATTTTCATTATTGTTTTGGTGCTCAAAAGTGTAAGAAGTGAAAATATAAGTGAAAATAAATATAACTGAAACTATAAATAACTGGATACGAAATGACTTCAAGAAGAAACGAATATTTATCAAGTGCAGCATATAGAAGGTAAAAAATGTAAAATAAGCAACAATGTAAACATATACTAATTTTTTTTATTATGCAGGCTAACTGAGGAACAGCGAGAATCATATATACAATCTTTATTTGATGAAATTTGTGACGATGACGCTCCCTATGACTTTGACTCAGAAGATGAAGAAGAAATTCAAATCAATGACATTGAAATTGCTGATGACGATGCTGAAGTTTCGCAAAGTGCCGCAGAAGTATTACCTGATTATGCGGACTATGAGGATGATGAAGAAGACGATGAAGAAGAAGAAGTAGAAGAAAATAATGAATTACCTGCTAGTGCCGAAAAATTTGTTGCACGTGATGGTACTGAGTGGATGAAAGAACCAAATGTAAGTCGTCAGGTACTCAGACAAAATATTATAAGAGAACGTTCTGGACCAGCTAGATGCACTGAAATGTTGTCAATAGAGCAAACATTCAAATGTTTCATGAACGTTGAAATGGCTGATATAATTATGCGCCACACAAATAAGTTAGCAAAAGAAACTTATAATGCTTACAACAATGCGCATCCAAACACAACTCCTAAGTCATGGACGCCTGTGTCAATAACAGAGCTGTATGCATTTTTTGGCATACTTATTATGACTGGTGCGAACCATAGCAATGGAGAACATGTTCGAGATTTATGGAGCGTCAAAAACTATCCTTTATATCGCGCCACAATGGGAGTCAACCGTTTCTGTTCGATATTGCGGTTCCTAAGATTTGACGATAAAAACACTCGTGCAACACGCTTACTAACTGATAAAGCAGCACCGATCAGTGAGTTGTGGACGATGATGAACAATAATCTTGCTGCACATTACAAGCCCAGCTCATGCTTGACGATTGATGAACAATTATTTCCTTACCGTGGACGCACACGGTTTACGCAGTACATACCGTCAAAACCTGCTAAATATGGTATCAAGGTTTGGTGGATTTGCGATGCCACAAATGCATATCCACTGCATGGACAAATATATACTGGCCAAGCAGAAACTGGTAGGGAAACGAACCAAGGCGAACGAGTGGTGAAGGATTTGTCTGCCAAATACCAAGGAAGTGGCCGAAACATTACAATGGACAATTTGTTTACGACCTTGCCAGTTGCAGAACTGCTTCTCACCTGGAAACTCACGATCGTTGGAACTTTGCGCAAAAACAAATCATATATTCCTCAAGAAATGAAGCAGAACAAAAACAGGACAATTGGTTCAACGACATTTGGCTTCAAAAATAATGTGACAATGTGCTCTTATGTTCCCAAAAAAAATAAAGCAGTAATTTTGCTTTCGACCATGCATAATGATGCTGAAATAGCTGACAGTGGGAAACCTGAAATAATTGAATATTATAATCGTACCAAAGGTGGTGTTGATCGAATGGACCAAATGTTTGCGGAATATCCAACACAAAGACAAACAAAACGATGGCCACTAGCGATGTTCTTCAACATGTTGGACATTACAGCTCTTGCAGCCTACATTGTCTACGATTTGAATAACCCTATGTTGCCTTGGAGAACAAACAACAAGCGTAAGCAGATCCTGCGCAGCTTGGCTGAAGCATTGTGTATGCCCATTATTGAAGCCAGAGCCATAAATCGTCAAGTGACGCGAAATTTTTCGACTAAAATTGCTATTGAAGCATATTTCAACCGACCGGTGGAATCAATGGTGTCAACAGCAGCATCAACATCTGCCGCAGCGCGCACGCCAAAACCTGTGTCCGGATCTTGCTATTTATGTTACGCACAAGAGGAAAAACGCCGTAGAAAAACCAGAAAGCTGTGCGACAAATGTAAGAAGCCAATGTGTCTTGAACATTCGGTCACATCAACAAATTGCTCTATTTGCCATGATTTTCCTTAGATATAAGATGCATTTTTATAATTTTTATAATAAAAGTCAATAATATAATGTGTGAAATGAATATTTTTAATTTTTCAAATAAAAAAATAATATAAAAAATTTTTTTTTTTTATTATTATGAGGATTTTTACTATTGGGGTACAAACGTATCCCGGGTGTGTGTTTACGTATATAATGTGTTTGGAAGGCTGTAGCTCCTGAACCAATGGTCCGATCTGGTTCAAATTTTGAATTTGAACTCAAAACTAAATAATCTTCCTAGATCCGAAGTTAGCGGTATAGAGGTATAGCGGTTCAAAAGTTACAACACTTCAAAGTTGAAAGTGGATACATTTGTACCCGGGTGTGTGTTCTAGGGATACATATGTAACCAGAATTGGGCGTGGCTACGCGCATTTTCCAAAAATTTCTAATATTCGTATTTTTCGTCTAAGGATTATTGCAAATGTCAATTTTGAGTGAATAATCTTCAGTAGTTACTAAAATATCGC